TGCACGTGGTTCGGGTTCATTTTATTGTCACATGTTTGTCTTTCCTTCCATTAGAGGAGTTCATGGTGATGCTGACTCCGATTCCAGATTTAATAATTTAAGTTTAAGAGGGGCCTGCTCTATTAAATGGAGCCCCTAACTTTACTAGAGCCACATCATCCGGAGCGAGAAAACATAGAGAAAAATGGTATATTCATCATAAACAGAGATGAACATTCATATGGAGTACAATTCCCATGATGCAAAATGCAGAGAAATTAACATATTTTAATAAAATTAAAATTTAATTAGTTTTTACAAAGTTAAGACCTCGTTTATCACTTGTCTAGATTCGCATTAAGAAGATTCCATTAGCACTAGCAGTTAGCCTCTTCTGCTTCAAGTTTCCATTCCATCAACTTTCTTCTTCATTTCTTTTCCCTTGCTTACCATCAATTCAAGCTTCCTGAACTTAATCTTTCAATCTCATTTCTTTTAACATTCTTTTTCTATTCAATACCAATTTTCCACTTATTACAACAAAAACCAGCCAATTTGTTTGTTTGCTCTGCGAAAAAAATGGCCAACAAAATCAAAAGGCACACCCACCGCACAAACTTCTCTAAACGTTTGAGTTCCATCCATTATGAGTCAAAAACCCTCCAATGGGAAGGATGTCTCAGTATTAACTTCTTCTTGGAGGGACCAACTCGCTAATAAACCTCTTTCTTTGGTTCTTGCAGGAATTCTACAGAATAATTGCTGATATCGCCATTAACAAGATCAGGCCTTATTACCCTAAGAAAGGTTTCTTGCTATTTGCAGTCCCCAACAAATTCTATTTTAATTGTTCGGGTGACATGACTGTAACACTTCCAAAAATTTACATAAATAACAGATTCTGGCTTTTTGAGTCAAGCCATTTCTAGGGACAACCGGGTTGTTCTTTCCATAGATTGGATTTTATACGGGTTTAAATAATTTTCTTGACTTGATCTTGATCATACCTGGAATTGCTGAAGAGGAACAATTGGTGTAGATTGGATTAGGGGGAAATTGAAAGGGAGATGCAAAAATTAAAAACCTCGTGTCTAACTCATCAAAGGTGATTGATAATGATTGCAGAGGCATAACGAGGCATTTCAAATTTCTCCAATGACGAAATTGACTACAACCATCTTCAGGCTCTTAGGGTTCTAACAAAACTTGGCCAAATATTTTAGAGAAAAATCCCTTCCATTCCAGTATCCAGTCAATAACAGTATCCAAAAAACCCATTTTGTCAGGCAGCTTTGCATCTGCATTATAACCATGACGGACGGCGCACAGATTAAAAAGAAAAAAAAACATGAAATTTGATACGTGGAATAATTTCCATTACCTTTAAGTGCGCACAAAACCCTTTTCAACTAACTGGCGGTAGTGAGCATTAAGCCATGAAACCACAAGCACTTGGCTTGTTCCAAGAAAGGACAATGGGAATCTCAAGTTCTTGGCCGCTTCGATAGTAAAGCTCATACAAAATCAGAAACTATGCAAGTGGACTGGAGGAACTTTTCGGACGAAAGAAGAAGAAGTATATCATTGAGTTTAAAAAGGAAGGTCTCTAAAAGGACGGTCATTATCGCACGGGGCGGAGGTAAGCAGGTTTTTTTCTTGGTTTAGAGTCACAGAGGGAAGGCACATCTTGGGTAGAGTCGGCATGATCCGATGGAGGGAGTCCATCGGGGAATAGTTTTCCGAACCGAAAAGTAGAGAGACCAATCAATGGATTAGAGCCTCTGGTATTTAAGAAGGCGTTTGGTGATGTATTCTGTATTAACAAAAGTGATATGAAAGCCTTTTCGGTGAAGAAGCTTTGCGAGTTTTAGCCATAGGGTTATATGGCTTGGCTGGGAATGGGATACATACTGCAATGGCCACCAAAATTTTCTTACAATCGAGAAACCATTTCTCTATCTTTATCTTTGTGTGTCTTTGCTTGGAATGCCTAAGTACAAGGCAGAGGACCATTATCTTATAGGTGGATGTGGCCTATTATTATTTATTATATTATTATTATCATGGGCCCGGACTTTCACTATGCTAATTTCTTAAAAAAAAAAAAATTATAACATACTCTTAAAATTATGGATTAGAAAAAAAAAAATGAAAATTGTTATTAATAGTTTATTCTGATTTAGGAGGATAGTAAGTTTTAGGAAGTGTGTGATGTTATTGTATACAAATATTGTGGGATATTTAAGTGTAGATTACTCAGGGAAAATTTTATTGATATTTATTCTCACACTCTAATAAAAGGAATTGAAGTGGGTGGATGCGGTTGCATCAGCGGCCACGGTCATTTAAAAGAATTGCTAGTCTTAGGGACTCGACTTGTCAGCTTTCAAGCACACCTATAGAGAAAAAAATCCAATTTCTTCGCTGGTTTTTTCTTTCTAAAATAGCGAAAGAAAGTCACTGTTAGGGACGCCACTGGTTGTAGGCCTCCTGCCGAAATGAGTGGCTGTGCATGATGCAAGTGGTTGTTGGTTATCCCAGACTGTTGTTTGTTGGATTTTTAGAGCTGTTGATCTCCTTTCCTTTTACCAAAATAAAAAAAAAGAATTGAGTGGTGTTTGTGGATTTAACCGAATGTTTGACAAAAAGAAACTGTGAAATTTCCACCAAAAAATCAATCATTTTTATATGAGAAATTGTGAAATGTCCATAATCAAAGATTTGGATGCCTATCAATTCACTCTTCTACTTATTAGAATGAAAATTATTTGATATTAAATAAAAAATATATTTTGTAACCATACTGAAAGCAATCCAAATTTAAAAAATTAAAATGAAATCTTCACATTGTACGAGTGACGATAAAATATAAAGTAAATTAATATTTGCTTTACTTTTCAAATAATTCCCAATATATCACTCAAAATTTATTGAATTGATTTTATTTTATTTTAATCACTTATTTATATATATATATAATATATATATATATATATATATATATATATATTATTAACATTTCCCTTTTCAAATATTGGTCCTCCTCCCTAAATATTCGGCATTAGTGAGAGTCAATGGAGAGTAAAGGTGATTGTAAATTCTTGAGAGAAAAGCGGTGGAGACTCTCGGACAGGATATAGTTGATAATGGAGTTCTACGATAAACAGTTCAAGTTCCCAAAAATGTGTTTCGTTAGCAAAAAGTCATGCTCTTGTTCGGTTTCGTTTCAAGTTTAAGATTCATTCTTATCTTATCTTTAATCTCAAGTAAAGTTTTTTATTTTGCATCCACAATTCTCAGTAATAAATAATCCATTTTTTTTTTCAGTTTTTCTACCATGGTATCAAAGCCTGTGTGGATATTGTCCGCTTGGGCCCCCAGGCCTGCACGGGTTTTGTTCATGGGCCAGGGAACCAGTTCCAGCCCAAAACGGGCTCAGTTAGCTCAAGGCCTACCACCACCTTATTTATATCACTCCACATTGTGCTTAACCCGATTGTCGGGATTGCCTAAGGTGTCATTAGTGGTGCACCATTATTCTGGTGGATATAGCCTTTCACTATAGCAGTGTTATCTTATGAATCATTTACCAAACATCTGCAATTAATTTTTGAAAACACCATATTTTTGTTCTTTTCCATGGGTCACATCCAAATTATTCTTGCCTTCGAACTTTTGGGTCTATAGTCTTTCCCCTATACTTGGGATTTTACGATAAAAACATAAATTTTGATCCAAAAAAGTTTCCTTGCGTTTTTGTTAGGCCATAATTAAAACATAAGGCATATTAATGTATTCATCCTTCGGAGCAAAAGACATTTAATCTCTCGACATGTGGTCTTTGATGAGTCAAGTGTTTCCATACTAAAAGTAATAACAAGTCTGGTCATAGTGATAAAATCAGTTGCAGGGAATTACCATTTTTGATACTTGGTTATCCCATACTAGCAAATTCTTCTTTTACAGAGTCAATTCCAGGAACCCTTCCCATACCTCCATGTCAAAGTCCAATATTGCCGTGATACCAGTACTCCACAAAAGACACACGGTGCAGTGAAGAAATGAGTATGGCCGACACTAGTCACATAGGTCCTAGTCTTTGAGCACACCTTGAAAACAAATCCTTTACCAGAACCTCAGAAATCTCATTGGTTTGTTCTAGCAATTAGATCCCCAAAGTTGTGAGTGAGTCACCACAATCTTCCTATCATTTAGCCTTTCCCCAGCCAAGGCGTTCTCCATCCATGGGGTCAACTCGGTCTTAAATTAGGTGAGTCCAAACAAATCCCAAGTATGCCTTTTAAACGTTGTCATTCAGGCCAATATTACCACGTGAACTCACATTTATAAAAGCTGGTTGGCTTCATCTTGGCCTAGAAAGCTACTATGGATGAGAAGCTAGCAGCATTCATAAGAATGAAACTGTGGACGTTAGTTCCTCGAACACCCAGGACATGCATGTATTAGGTCAAAATGGTTTGTTTAAATCAAAATTGAATCCAAATGGTCATTAGATCGGACTTTACAAGTTCAGCTTGTTGCTTAAGGGTATCATCAAATTGATGGTTAGACTACACAGAAACTTTCCTCCAGTTGTCAAACCAGGGACAATTCCGCTGATCATTACTATAACCTTGTTCAAAATGGTCGTCTTCGATAGTTTAGATGTTAAAAAAATGCCTTCTTGCATGGGTTAGTACTTTTCTTCTTAAAATATGGTTTTTTTTTTTTTTTTTTTTTTTTTTTTTTTTTGTTAGTTTTGGTTATATGTCATTGTTTGTTTTCATTCTGATTATGGGTCATTAGTTTTGCCTTCCTTTATGTCGATGACATGCTGTTTACAGGTTCAAATCTAAATACTTCCTTCAATAATTCAATTATGTTGCTAAGTAGTGAATTTGAATGAAGACTTTAGGCCCGATTTTATCATTTCTTGGAATAGAAATAAACTACAACAATAAGTGGCCCTTCATTTTGTCTCAATTTCACATTTATGCTTTGATCATCCTTAAACGCTCCAGTATGTTGATTGCAAGCCCATTAAGTACACCACTTAAGTCTAAAACAAAACAGTCATCTTAGTGATAACTCTCTTAAAATTGATCCTAGTATTATCAGGACTTTGTGGAGCTTTACCAATATCTTTACTTTAACACGACCTGATCTTTCCTTTAGAGTTAAGTTTTGCTTCTCCAATATATGCATTTGGCTCCAACATTGGCATTTAAAAATGTTTCGCTAAAATTTTACGATTATTTTAAAGGAATAATTTATATGGGAATAAGTTTTAACTTCCAACACTACACTTGATCTATTTGCTTCTTTGATGCAGATTGGGCAAGTTGCACCGTGACAAGGATAGTCTACTACCAGATATTTGCACCATTTCTTGGTTCAAAATCTTATCTCCTGGTGTGAAAGAACAACAAACTATTTCTCTCGCTCAAGAACTGAGGCAGTTAATATCGTGTAATGGCTCACACTGCGGCTGAGCTTACGTGGATGGACTTTTTATTCTCAAAGATCTCCATGTTGAAACTACCATCTCCTCTCACAGCTTTATTGCGACAATCTTTAGTGCTCTTCACATAACCGGTAAATCATGCTTTCATGCATGAAGTAAACATATGAGTTGGATTTATCATTTTGTGCAATAACAGGTTGCACTATGGCTGCTTGTCACACAATATGTTTTTCTCGATTGTTCAAGTTTGCTGATTACTTTACCAAAGCCAATGTCCCAAATCAGGCTCTTTCCAAAGCTTCTGCAACAAACTTTGCCTTTAAAGCCCCGACAAAGGTTTGTTGGGGATATTAATAATTTCCCTTTCAAGTATTGGTTTCCTCCTCCTCAAATATCGGCATAGTGAGAGTTCAATAGAGAGATAAGGGTGACTATAATTCTTGGAGAGAAAAGGGTTGGTCATAGCCTGACCTGGTCAGTATTGT